GACATTACCTGAGCAGTCGAAGGCTGCGCATTTATTGCATGGATGGAGCAAAAATGTAACGTTAAGTTTCTAAAGCATATGCACCGTTCCACTGAATGATAAATGTGTTTTAACAATGTCGTAGAACCGAATGTACCAAGGAAACTTAAAATAACCACAGCATTAACAACAACCAACAAAGTTTTCACACTGAAAGAGAAGTGATCTCGCGCTCATAGAACTTAAGACGTGCCAGGCTATATCTGCAGCTAATCTGAATGAAAAGCAGAATGAACGGGTGAAATGTTAAGACAATAAACACAATAAATAAATAAAATTTATGAATGATGCAGTGCTAATTGACATAATTTATTACAGTACAGACACTATAAAGTATATTTTCTACCTTATTCTCTGCAGAAAACTGAAATTGTTTGTAGTATATAAACATAAAATTGCCATTAGGAAAAAATTATAGATTACAAATGATTGATTATTGTCCAGCAGTGTATTTGATTTCTTATAGCAAATTCGAAGTAAGAGATAAGAAAAAAATTCCTTGTAAATAATAATACATACATACATAAAATTATTGTATTTGACATTTCTGTCAATTCTGAAATTATGGTTACGCCCCTGGGTGTGACAAAATGTTAGCCTATACATAATACTTTTAAAACTTTTTTTTTTATTTTTTTTTATCTTGGCTTACATAAATTTCTACATATGCCATGTCATGCCATAGCATCATTAAACTAGCATCTAACAATGGACAAGTGGTTTTTTTTTTTTTCTCTTAACCTATGGTTCTGTAACCATAAAGGCTGCTGTGTAATTTGCCCCCTGACTAGGCATTTAAAGAATTTAGGGGAAGCGTTTAAATAATCCTGTGAATGCACTTAAAGAATGCAGAATCGAATCGTTAATCGAATCGAATCGAATTTAATTGTGAATAGAATCTAACTGAATCGTTCTGAATTGGCAAAAATCATTCTTGAATCGAATCTAAAACCTATGAATCGTGAATCAAATTGATTCACAATGTGAATAACTTAATATGCTTATGAAGATTAATATACACAACATAAACAAGCAAGACACCATGAAGAACTTTTTTTCATTGTTGTAACCTAAACCCCTGAAATAATAGCATTATAATTAATATATTGAAGTATTAGCTACTTACCTAAAACTATTGATTCCTAAACTGAGAATCATGATGCAGTATCATGAGGCAAAATATTGCAGTATGCGGTGTTTTATTGTGTGCCACATGACGTGTTTTGTGTTGCAGGTGTCTGCGTGGGGAGGATATGTCTTCATCATCAACCTGATTCCTCTCCATGTTTTTGTGCTGCTCCTTATGCAGCGCTTCAGCAGGAGGCTGTACATCGGTGAGTCACCTGTGTTGTGTGTATGTTTGTGTGAGCGTCTCTGGTTTTTGTATGAAGTGCACACATCACCGCCCACACAATCACGCTACGTAGTGCTTGTTCTCCTGTACAATAATGAAGCATGAACCTGCTTTTTCCCACTTGCTTTTTGATTTGGACACACAGAGATGCTTGTGCAGTCGTGGTTGACAGCACGAGTCTCTCTACATTGACAGCAGAATTTAAAGTTGACTTTAATGTTTAATGGCACATTTTTTCCACCCACTTCACTCTTGCATTTCACAACCAATCACATAAGCAGTGCTGATCTGAGGATACATGGATCTTCATGTCATGGAAAAAGCCTTTGAATTCAGATTTGCTGTCTTAAATGCCAAAACAGCATGCTAACTGTGTCAATTAGAACCTCTGCTAGCTTGAATAAGCTAAGACAACAGTTATTTTCCTTTAAGAGCAAAGAGTAATTTTTGGAGTACTTTTGTTCATCTTTGATGGGTTCCGCCAATTTTTAGGTGGATCAATAATTAAAGGTGCAAGGTTTTTGTGAGGCTCCTGAGTGAGCACTCTGATAAAAGAATGGGGCCTTGTGCCACTGGGCTAATTTTGTTTAAATCTTTATTAGCCCCTCCCATTCTGCCGCAGCTGCAAGTGCAAAATGCGCTACTGATGGATGCTGGGTATTAGCTCAGTTCGTCTCCTTTCTGGAAAGTTCTTGCACTTGCCGCAGGTCCCACTACATATTTGCCGTGGCCCGACTCCACGTGGAGTATCACTGCCACCTGTCCTAATAGATCATAGTGATTAGATTAAGTAGCACTGCTCTCGGTTTATGGGGCCGGGGCTTGGACCAAGAACAGCAGTCATGTTTAGAGATGGATGGAGAATGGAGTAAAACCAGTGGGATCTGGTTATTGCGTTTCTGTTTCACCTTGTTGTCTCCTCCTAGAGTGACGTCTGCTTTGGTAGCCTCAGACATCACACTAACAGTTTGTTTAATGACTGTTTAATGTATATCTAGCCCACAGAAATGACATGAACTGTCTGTAAATCATCATGTCCGAACTGATTGGCTAGTTGATACTTAACTTTCGAGGGTTGCCTAAGTTGGTTTGCCAGTAGCCCTTTTTATTGAGTCTTCGGTGGCACATGATCCTAAAGAAATCATTCTGAAATGCTAATTTGGTGCTCAAGAAACATTTCTTCCATATCAATGTATGAAACAGTTATGCAGCTTAATATTTTTGTGGAAACCATGATTTTTTTTTCTGGATTCTTTGAATGGAAAGTTCAAAGAATGTAATTTAATTGAAATGGACATGTTTTATAACGATGTAAATGCCTGTATTCTGTTTAATGCATCCTTGCTGAATAAAAGTATTTATTTTCAAAAAAGATTCTTTTTGACGCCAGCTTGTGAAGGGTAATTAAAGTAAAAGGGACAAATTCTAGTTTATTTTTGTGAGAGAGTCTTTCTCACATATTTACTGTACTTTCAGTCACAGAGACCCAGGACTTATATAGCTAATATATCATGTAGGGATGTTCATTTTAACCGGTTAACCGACAGTAAGAATTTTGACCGAATAATACAATCAGTTTAAACGGTTTAAAAAGTCATTTAATTATTTATATTTTCAGTAATTTATCAAAATATTTAAAGGGGTCATATGATGCGATTTCAAGTTTTCCTTTCTCTTTGGAGTGTTACAAGCTGATTGTGCATAGATAAGATCCCTGAAGTTGCAAAGACTAAAGTCTCAAAACCAAAGAGATATTCTTTATCAAAGTTAAGACTCTGCCACGCCCCCCTAAAACGGCTCGTTCTAACACGCCCCCACATATCTACCTCACTATGTGGAAATATTTGCATAATGCCGCCCAAATGTTCACGCAAAGAAAGAAGGCGTGGTTTCAGTAACCGCAGTTAGTGTTGAAGCAGCCATGTCAGGGAAACGCTGTGTGTTTCAGTGCGAAAGCAAAAGCACTTTATTTGGCCTTCCGAAAGTAGATGCATTTAGGAATCTTTAAGATTACTTACAACAGAACAGCAATGCATTTTATGGACGACCGTTTCGTGAAACTAGGAGGTAATTCTGACTTTGCTATGACAATCTGGCGCTTCTGAATCAGCTACTGTTTTGTTATTAGTTTAAGTATTTGCTATTGACTGTTCAAATGCGGAGTTTTGCGCATCGTGTGTGTGTGTGCGCGAGCGAGCGAGC